ACAAAAGGGCAAAATTAATAATTATCATGTATTAAGGCCTGTGCTGAGTGCTTTGTATCTTTTTTCTTATTGATTCCTCAGAACCAGAATCTGTGTGTGTGTATGTGTGTGTGTTTTCTACAGCTATTTATTTGTTGGTTTGTTTATTTATTTGTTTGTTTGTTTGTTTATTGTAATGGGGCTTGAAGTCAAGGCCTGAGCACTGCCCCTCAGCCCTTTTGCTCAAGGCTAGCACTTTACCCATAGCTCCACTTGAGGTTTTCTTGTGGTTTCTGGAGATGAGTCTCACTGACTTTCCAGCCCAGGCTGTTTCTGAACCTGGATCCCAGCCTCCTAAATAGCTAGGATTACAGACATAAGCTGCCAACGCTTGGCCTGTTTTTTTTCTTTAATGGAGTCATAGATTCAAAAATTTGTCCAAGGTCACTCAAAGAACAAACAAAGGAACCAAAATTCAGTGTCATCTGTGATAGAACTGTCCACATACTTGGCACCGCACAACCTAAACAATTTGGGAAGGGTATATTGAGCAAGTTCAATGTATGCCAGCATTACAGCTGAGGGATGAGGGACAGCATTCTGCCTTCTCAGCACTTCAATCCTCAGAAAGGCTAGCTTCCAAGAACATTCAGTTGTAAGGAATGTCATTGCCTGGTGTAAGACTTTCTACAGCAAAGATAGCAAACTCCTTTGGCCTGTGAGCTTACCAGTAATCAGAGATAAATAAATAGAAAAATATTTCATGACTCGTGAAAATTATATGGAATTTAAATTTCAGTGTCCATAAATAAAATGTTACGGAAAATGAGCCATGCTCTTTTGTTTTTGTATTGTCATGTATCAGTGGCTGCTTCCATGCTACAGCAGTAGAACTGAGTTGTTGCAATGGAGATGGTATGGCCTGTAGACTCTGAAAGATTTGCCGTCTGACCCTGCACAACAAAAATTTGCTAACCCCTGACAACAGGAAAAGATAACCAAACCAAACTGACAGTAGGATCAAGAAATTTTGCCCTCATGGGCTTTTGAAAAATAATAAAGCCGGGCACTGGTGGCTCACGCCTGTAATCCTAGCACCTCAGGAGGCTGAGATCTTAGGATTGCAGTTCAAAGCCAGCCCAGGCAGGAAAGGCTGTGAAACTCTTATCACCAGGTGGGGGAAAAGTGTGGCCACATTGAGTCTGGATGTGAACTCATGGCCTGGGACCCTCCTGTGGTCAGATGGGCAGCGTGACCAGAAGTGGCCCAGGATGTAACCTAGCGTGGAAGTGGTGCTGTGGTAAGTGCTAGCCTTGAGCTGAAGACCTCAGGGACAGCACTCAGGCCCAGAGTTCAAGCCCCATGACCAACAAAAATAAATAACAGTAACCCCCCTGGAGAAATTGTATATGTGTAGTGCAAGTCACTTACCAACAGAGTAGACGGGATGATTCCTTCCCCACTTCCCATGAATTTGGGAAGACAAGACAGCTTAAGCAAGCCTCATCTGAGACGCTCTCACCCACAGCTAGCCTCGCCCTGGCACTCTAAAGCACCAGCATCCATGTCCCCTTCATCCCTAACAATCCTCATGTTTAAGAAGTAACACTTGAGAAAACAGGTACTTGGTTTTATTTGTCCCAACTGTGGTATGCTAGGGATCTAGAAGCAGCTGAGGTTTTAAACGATAAAACCTTGTTAAGCTGCTTACATTCCAGTGTTGTCACACATGTCCTTTTTTAATCTCTCTAACTTCAAGTGAATTCCAGGTAACAATGCTGATTCACCCTCTCCTTAGAGGGTGAAGTTTGTCCCCTCCCCCACTTGATTTCTACATTCCACTGTTGCACTTTTGGGCACTCCCTTAAGATGTCAATTGTAGCATGTTGCAGCTGTAAAGTTGCCTTGCCCATCTTTCTCCCCCCAAGGAATTGAGTTTTTAATGTGGAAATAAATCAATAGAGCTCAACAAATTGTTTGTACGTTTAAAAAATGCAGCTCAGTTTTTATTTGATGAGCTGCTAAGCAGTGAAATGTGATCCATGGCCATATATAGCTTCCTCCTGCCCATGGAATCCTGTTACCAAGATCCAGTTTTCAGGGTCTCCATCCAGGCTACAGGCCCCAGGATTAGGACTAAAGAAGGGAAAGTAAGACTCTATGAGGCCACCATGGAATGATTGTTTCTAAAAAATTTTATTGAAATGACTTTCTGAGCACCCAGTTCTAAAGAGCAAGGCTTCAGGAATACAGGCATAAAAGAGAAGACAGCCAGAGTAGCCTTGATTGATTTGGAGGGAGGAGAGGCAGGGTCAAAATCTAAAACTTGATATTTTCAGGATTGAATCTTAGTAAATTACTTGCCTACCCTCCCACATTCATGGGAAAACTCAAGAGTGGTAACAGGAATCCTCAGTATCACAAAGCACATTATGAACATCAGCACATTGCCACATATGTTACCTCTTATCAGCCTCCCAGAGTCCCTACCTCATGAGAAAGTAGAGCCGGGTTATTATTTGTTCGTAGCTACAAAAATAAAGATGTAGAGAAGTCGAATGGTTTGCCTACAGCAATGTGGATCCTGTTGTAACAATGACAGTACTAGAATTTGTTCCCAAGTTGTAACCGTTTCTGTCTTTGGTTTTCTATCTTCACTCCCATCTGTAAGTTATACTAAATAGGTAGGTTCATTAGGTAGCCGGTGAAGAGAAGAGAACATCATGTGGTATGCAGGCAGGAAAATAAGTTTATTTACTGAACTGCTGCCCCCCACTCCTCCCCCACCTCCGCCCCACTGTGCATGGAGAGGCATGGCCAAAAGAGGCCACCCACTCCCAGGCCAGGACTTATCTAGGCCATGGACAGGAAGAGGTTTGGCCGGGTGGGGGAAAGGTGTGGCCACACTGGATGGGGTGGGGTGGTGGGGAGACGACTTCCAGATGTGCCAGTTACCTAGGTAACACAGATACTGGGTGGAAACTTATGCAAGAGTTAGGGAGGTATCTGTACAAGGCCCGCATAGCCCAGGGCAGACCTTACACCATCTATGATAAAGGACAGATCTTTGGAATTGGACACAGCTTTGCCACTAAAGTAGCTGGGTGCCTTGACCTAGTTATGGAAGACTTGGCTCAGTTTATGGAAATATGGATGGCAGCTGTTTGGGTTCCTGAGACTAGTGAGTGTCTCCTGCATTGTTATACTCATAGTGTTTTCCCTTTGTTCCCCTTAATGCAAATTCTCTATGCATCTGTCATGCATAACTGCACACACACATTTGATTAATCTGCATCGTGCTTGCAAGACTGAGGAAACAAAGGTAATAGTCCTTAAAGAACAGTTAGAGCCTCTAAGTGGTCAAATAGTAGAGCCAAAAGCTAAAACTAAACAGGCTTCCTAATGACTGAGGGTCTTGCCTGCCACAGGGGTCTTGTAGGTGTGGGTAACCAGTCAGTAAGAGGACAGCTGCACTGAGTAGATGAAGATAAAGATTTCTGGAGCCTTCATAGTGAAGATATACTTAACCTCTAACCTAAATCCTACCGGGTCCTTATCAGCAGCCCATTGCAGATGTATAACATACTTGCCGACTACCCGATCACATAATGAAGACTGGGATCTCTAAGCCGAAGCTTGCTTTTTCTGTCCCACAAGTTGGACAACATAATGTGTCCTGTTCCAAGGTGGCAGAACTCCGGCCCCTCCTTCCATAAATATCTATTTCCTGGAATTGTCACACTATTCCCTAAAACTTTAGAGGGCTTATAAGGCCCTTTTGTAGTGTAGTGGGGGTGGGGGGGAAGGAGTTAAGGAGTAACTAGGTCTTAAACTCAGGGCCTCAAACTTGCTAGGCTGGTTCTCTACCATGTGAGCCGTGCTTCCAGTCCTGCTTTTTTGCTGGTTAATTGAAGATAGATCATTACAGACTTTTCTGCCTAGACTTGAACTGCAATCCTGGATCTCAACCTCCTGAGTAGCTAGGATTACAGGTGTGAGTCACTGGTGCCCAGCCTCTTGTATCTCTAGGTAACAAAGGGGAAATTAAATATATACCTAGTATTTCCTTTGTCTTGCAGCTCTATAACTGTGCATACACACACACACACACTCAGGACCTCACACTTTCACCTAGGTTTTTCCTCTTTTTTTTGCGAGTCCTGGGGCTTGAACTTAGGGCCGGGGCACTGTCCCTGAGCTTCTCTTTGCTAGTACTCTTACCACTTGAGCCACAGCACCACTTCCAGCTTTTTCTGTTTATGTGGTACTAAGGAATCGAACCTAGGGTTTGATGCATAGTAGGTAAGTAAGCACCCTACCACTAAGCCACCTTCCTAGCGCCTCTCTGGGCTTTTTCTCACCGTTGGTGCTCTACCACTTGAGCCACACCTCCAATTCTAAGTTTTGCTGATTAATAAGCATCTTGGTGTTGATTCTCAGATCTCAGTCTTCAGAGATTATTGGAATGAGCTGCCAGCAGTTCACTGGGTTTTAATTTGAACGTAGATTTGTGTGTGTGTAAAATGATGGATGAGAATTTGGATGGATTCTGTTCACTGAAGGCTTCAGGAGGAGGATTCTTAAATCAAGTTCTGCCCCTCAGCTTGCATTTTGTTATTCATGAGTATAAAACAGTGACCTCCGCTCTGAATTCCTTCCCCATGTCCTCACCAGACAACTTTGGCAGTCATCTCAGTTTCTGTAGGCTAGCGGCGCATTCAAGGGGTAGGAACAATCTGAAACAACTCCTGGCTCGATAGAATAGAAGAATGTGCAGCATGGAACATAGAAAGAAATATTGTATTACTACTATGTGTGTACTGGCTCAAAAGATGAAGGGTTGTGGCTCCTCTAAATGTCAGCGTTACCAGTTTAGTCAGTAAGGTTCAAGGGAATTTTGTCCTGAGAGAAAGGTGGTGACACTTCATCACCCATGCTGCCTCAGGAGGCCCCGCTCACCTGCCCCGTCAGGAGAGGTGGTCATGCCAGGCTCTAACATGCCTTTCTCTCTCTCACCACAGGTGTTAACAGAACTGAAATCTGACAACCAGAGGCTGAAAGATGAAAATGGTGCCCTCATCAGAGTCATCAGCAAACTGTCCAAATAGATTAGGCTCCAGGCTTTGGAGGAGAGGGAGAGCATTTGCAGCCTCACACCCTCTTTTCCAGCCATGGCTTTCCAGCCAAAAGAAGTGAACGTTTGGGTGGAAGGACTTTTCTTTTTTAACTCTTCAGTCACCTCTGCACTGTACATTTTTCTCTGCACTCCTGATTTTCCATGCCCTCCACGCCCCCCACCCCAGATTTTATGACAGTTTTAATTGAAGCATGATTGTGATCCTTCAAGCCTTCTGGAGAAGGCCTTGTGGAGTAAACCGAGCTCAGCTGTGGACCCCAACTTTTTGCCGCACTGCTGCTTTATCTACGTTGGATTTGGTCCAAACACATAAGGCTTTGTACCCACAGTCTTTACGCTGACCTTTACAGTGCCCTCTGGTGTAGGTGAGTCTTATGGTAGCCAGTCCAGGACCCTGCGTAGGATGCCAAGAGAAAGGGGAGGATGTGGAAGGAACTGCAGAATTGCCTCTGCAGCTGTATTTCCTAGGGTCTTAGGTGGCCATGACTGCCTCAAGGTTCTTTATTATGCTTCACTTCAGAAACTGACTTATTTTTAGATTTTTCTATCCATAACCAACATCCCTGACTAGTTTTAACCCTTACTCCTCCCTTTCTCCAAAGCTCAGATAGCCCTGACCTCACTTATTCCTGTACTTTCTGTTTTATTCTCCCTTCCTCTTGCCTCCTCCACTGATGGTATAAAAGCTGGAACAGAATACCTGACAGTCGTCTTTGAACATTATAGTACATCATTACTCTGGAGACCAGAAAACCATCACTATCATCATCCTGGTAACTTGGTGACAGCATCATAACCCCTTTTCCCTGAAAAGCTAGACCTTTTCCCTGAAAAGCTAGAACCATTGTTCACATCTCCCATTTGTCTTCCCCAGCAAAATGATTTTCTGTATTAGAAAATCTAGCCTCTGAAAACTCTAGGCTGCTTCGTCTCCCTTCTTCATGCTCCTGACTGCTCTAACACCTATTAATGAGGAATGAAGTCATTGCAAGAAGGCCTGAGGAATGGGAAGGCAAATTGTTGGAAGCTGGCCTGGGGAGTGGAAGCAGCGTAGAAAGACATAGGTGGTGAAAGCAGTGTGTCTGTGGTCACTGCAGCACTATAGCTGTGCTGTGAGAATGACGGTAAGCTTGATTGTTTCTGATGATGGGATTTAGGGAAGAGTCATTTGCTTTCTTGGAAGCCAACAGGACAAATGACTGCTAAATAGAGGTTTAAAGAGATGTGGTACTTCCAACCCATGATGAGAGTCGCGGAATTTTAGAGAGACAAGGCCCAGAGGTCATTTGGCCTGGCTTTCGGTTGTTCCACAGGGACTGCCCCTGCTACCATATATTCCACCCATGGTCAAGTAACCTCTGGTGGTTTGGGTGGGTATGTATTTATTATCTGAAAGTTGGACAGTTCTCATAACCGGAGAGTGTTGGCAGGTTGAACTCAGCTTCATGAGACAAGTGCTCTACCACTTGAGCCATGCCCCCAGTCCTCATGACAAACTATTTGTGTCTAATGTATCTTTGTCCTGCAGACAAAAACAGCCTTTGAGAATATCATGCCCCAATATAGACAGAGCGCTCCATAATTCCAACACAATTAAGCCATTAGTTCTCAATGATAGTATTTGCTTCTTATAGTTTTATCCCTTGGTTCATCTTGAGTGTACAGGTCACTTAAAGCCTCATTTGAGATTGCTGGTGATGCTCAGTGTGGATAGTGGTCTGTTCTCTTAACATATACTACCTCTGCTAGCTTCTTTCTGAAAATGCAATTTCCTTATCGATGGCCATGCTCTTAAAGCAGCAGCTGTAATTCAAGATCCCAGTTCCAGAATAGAAGCCCTGTCACCTCTGACAAGACCCTACGAGAGTGTGCAATCTCTCTTCTGTAGTCACCCATTTTTTTCAAGAGAAGCTACTTCTCCCTTGGGACTTTGAATTATTAGGGGGCATTCACTGCAAGCTTGGTTCTCACGGAATGCTGAGCGAGAACGAACAGCTCTATTTCTTCCACTATAATAATTTTCTTCGTTCTAGGAAAGGAAGTCAACAAGGCCTTGGCTAAGTGATTCTTTTGGTCCATCTTGGGCATGGAGGAAGAAGGGATTGCTGCCTCTTTCTCAGGACCTGAAACTTAGATTACTAGGAAAACATTTCGAGCCACCCTCATTCCCTGCAGGCCAGATGGAGGAGTGACGGAGTTCCCTGAGGCCCTGAGCCTTCCCCAGAGTGGGGGGCGCTCTTAGAACCCAGGCTGGCCTCTGCTCTGCTTGTTGCTCCACACACCCTTGCGTGTTATAGATGCTTCTTGCCAGGGAGTTTTCCTCCCGTAATGACACCGTACTCTGTAGCCAAGAACTCATGAAAGCACAAACCACCCTAGGTTTCAGGTGCTTTCTCTTAAGTCAGTCCTTTTATTTAAAAAAAAAACAAAGAAACTTGTGAATCCTGGTCTCTTCCAGAGAACAACATACCATTTCTTCAGAGTTATATTGGCTGGCAGACCTATGAGGGAGTGGTTATCGGCCTTCTGGTAGCCAGCTGTTTTCTCATGGTATTGGCAGTGCCACACCTTTTTTCCTTCTTGGCCAGTGTCATATTGTGGGTCCTCCCAGTAGCCACGACTGCCCTCTTCACTGCTGGCGTGGTACTCACAAGCACCCCCTAGCACAGCAAGGCAGGTCTCAGGCCTGTCTTGGTAGAGACGTTACAGGAAACTAGAGAAGGGAATGAACGCCCTCTGTTCTCCTTGATTTGAGATTTTTCAACTAGCAGGCCATACCTTTGGGAACAATGACTGGGCCACTCCAGACATTCTCTGGCTGGAGTTTGCCTGCTTGGCTTTCAGGAGCTGCTGGTCCTTTTCAGACCCCTCCAGGGTGTGCTGACCCCCAGCCCAGCCCAGCCCAGCTTCTGTGAGGGCTATGCATGTCTCAGGGTGTTGCCTCCAAAAATCTGAAGACCAGACATGACTTAGGACCTAGTCAATGAATTTGTTTCTTTTCTAGGCCCATTTAATTCGTAATTTCTGGAACCTTCCTGCCTTTACCCAACTGTGGGATGTGTTTGCTTCTCTTCTGGGCTTGCCCTGATTCTCTGCCAGCCCTTGCCCTGTTTAAGGAGACCTAGATGCATTTGTTGTTTGCCAAGACCACCGGTGTATTGCACATTTCTCTGAACCTATTCTCCCTAACAAAACAAAGCTTATTTTACAATCCCATCAAGAAGTGAGGAGGCTAAAGTCCCACTTACTAGTTCATAAATCCCATAAAAGGCTGAGTAAACTACTAGCTGTTTTTCTACTAGGAGATATTATAGAGCCAGGGATGAGAGAAGACACTCACACAGCCGGGCACAGCCACACTAGGCTCTGGATTTCTGACCAGTGTCTCGTCCAGACCACTGAGCAGAAGGTCCTGACAGTGTTAGCCCTCGTTAAGAGGTGGGCCCCAGTGCTGGGAAGGTGGCTTATTGGTAGAGTACCTGCCTAGCATGCATGAAGCCCTGGGTTCAATTCCTCAGTACCACATAAACAGAAAAAGACAAAAGTAGTGCTGTGGCTGAAGTAATAGAGCACTAGCCTTGAGCATAGAGAGGCTTAGGGACAGAGTCCAGGCCCTGAATTCAAGCCCCAAGACTGGCAAAAAAAAAAAAGGGGGGGGGGAGCTGAGATGAGCAAAAGCCTGATCAAGAGAAGACTAAAGTGTTGCCAGCTACTTTGTACTTTAAATGGAAAAGTCTACAGGATTGTGCAGCTAGGCAGTAAGGCAGGGAATGCCTAGGTCACCAGATGAACCACTGGCTCTACTGCAGCCAAGCAGTGAGGTAGTGCTGCAGGCCCTGGTGTCATTCCCCCTCCTCCCCCAGTACCACCAGGAGTCACGGGGCTCTGCCACATATTCCCACAAAGTTGCTAGTCAGAGATTCTCCCGCCCAAATCTAGGCCCAGTGATAGCTGCAAATCTTGGTCACCATTCTGACTTAATGGCAGGTCACTCACAGACACCGTAAAGGATGTGGGTTCCCCGGGCCCATAAGCAAGATTGTGTTGAGGGCAGCGTAAGTACTGAAAGGCTTCCCGTCTGTACATGTGGGTTGGGGAGCCAGTTCTCCGTGTGACCACGTGTCCTCAGGCACCATGTAAAGTCCCTTTTGTGTTAAACATTCTGTGATTTACTCAGCCTTAGGAAGATCAGAACAATTCTTAAACTTGGAATTTCTGCTTCAGCACTTCCTTCTTTTAATTTCAAAACTTCAAGGCCACAATTGTGACTTTTTTCCAGATTCATACTGTTTAACATCGACATGTCAAGGTTGACTACTGGTCCTTGTTAGAAAGTGAGGGTAATTGAATGGTGTTGCAATTGCTTTCCTCCTAAAGGTTTGGTAAGAATATTAAAACCTGCAGAGATGGAAATTGGAGCTCATAGGGAAATGGAGAGAAAGCAATTTGTTGCAAGCAGCCTTTGAACAAATTGTTTTACTAGGAAATAGATCTGCTCTTTCATAGGTGTCCTCACCACCCCTGCCCAGCTCTCTGAGATGTGATCTACACTGGCTCTCAGTACCCAAACAGCAGATTTGATTGCATTTCTGCTTAGCACCAGCTGGTCCCTACTCTTAATTCTGCCTTTGCAATAGCAGGAGAATTTTCCTCCATAAAAACTTCCACCTGTACTCCCACTGAGCTCTTTCCCCGAAATGTAGGCTCTCAGAAGTTCCTGGTGCAGTTCACCATGGTCTTTCCTTTAAAGCAAGTTTGCAGAGGAGCTTACTAAAGTAGAAAGTGTTTACAATGCACATGGACACAGTGCGTGGAACAGTACTGGACTCTTAAGACTTATGCAGGTCCCAGTTTGCATGCAGTATAAGAGCCGAGACCCTGGTAGGGAAGGTGGCCTCCATTCTCTGGTAGGAAAAAGGAAGGTGGCCAGGACTTTGAACGTGGAGTGGGATGGAGGTCATGAGCACTGGCAGGAAGGAAGGCAGTTCTGTTTCACTGGTGACTGCATCCCTCAGCCTGCAGCTGAGCAGAGATTTTATCAGCTTCGTTAATAGCTATTGACACTGTTTCAGAGCAGCAGACCCTATCGGGGAGAGCTATGGATTGCTTGTGTTCTGATTAGATTGGAAAAATAGATCAACTTCATTACATCTCTAGAACTGCCATTGTCATAGCTGAGGAATAGGATGGCCTCTGAGGAAAAACAAGCAGACTCTCGACTAGCCAGCGTTCACGTCCATGTCTCCTTAAGAGCTGTGGTTGAGGGTCACAGCTGGCGTAAGGTGTGTCTTGTAACCATATTCCAGGAGCCTTCTTGGGAAGAAGAGTAGAGGAGAAATAGGTGAGTCTCAAGTCCATGGCACATGCATGTTTGGGCCTTACCTAAAGCAGCTTGACAACTTGAGGCTCTCTTATCCTGCGTGAATACACATGCACACTTGCTAGCCTGCAGCTTTCAAAATGAAGTCTGACATATTCTTACTTGATGAGAAATGAGAGCTCAGAAACCAATTTTATCCAAGTGTAGTATTCTATGAATTTCTATCTTTTGCCTCCTACTCCCGCCCTTTCAATTCCCCAAAAGACTTCTTTCTGAGCCGTTCCCCTACTCATCTGCTTATCATTTGGGACTGTGAATCTTCCAGTGACACTTTGTTATTTCTCCTCCAAACGTTCCCCTAATGCTTCCCATAAAATTTTACTTGGGTGGCCCCTTAGGTGACATCAGGATGCTCTTATGTTCATCCAAAATAAGCATGCCTTCCCTCCTCCTCTTCCCCTCATCCCTCTCCACATTCTTTATGCCTTGCTTCCTCACATGGACCTGACAATGCTCAGTCAGCCAAGATTCCTGGAGGAGTGTCATATACCAATCTTGGCCCACCCCCTACCAACACACACACACACACACACACACACACACACACACACACACACACACACACACACAGAGTCTCTTCCAGTTTCAAAGCTCCCTGGATGTGCCAATGGCCCCCTACCCCCTACCAACACACACACACACACACACACACACACACACAGAGTCTCTTCCAGTTTCAAAGCTCCCTGGATGTGCCAATGGCCCCCTACCCCCTACCAACACACACACACACACACACACACACACACAGTCTCTTCCAGTTTCAAAGCTCCCTGGATATGCCAATGGCCTCAGAAGCTTTGTAGGCCTAGATGAGTCCTCCATAACTTGGCCAAAGAGACCACAGGTGGCCATGTTGGAGTCATTCTGTCTTTTGTCTTTAAAGATGTTACTAGTTCCAGCTTAAGAGCAAAGTGTGCTCAGCACACACTAGATAAGTATGCTGATCTAGTGAGGCTGCAACCCCTTCCTGCTTGGCAGAGAAGGGTCCAGAAGGGCTCACTGAGGAGCCTAGTCAGAGCCCTGGTGTACTCTCAAACCCAGAGCTGGGGTGAGAGCATAGACGCTGACCAAGGAACCTCGGGGCTGCGCCAGCTTGACTCTCAGGAGTGTACCTGCCCCTGCCTTCCTCACACCTACTCTCCCAAGACCTCAGACCCATTTCAGCATGTCCTCCAAATTAGGGGGCCACTAACGAGTGGCTGGAGGTGAAGGAAACCAGGAGGCAGGCTGCAGGGTGGAGGGGTTTGGGGAGGTTTTAGCCATCCAACCCAGCCCCTTTACTAACGAGCAGTTCTTGAACCCTTGAACCGGCTGCCACCAGGCTGGTACCTCAGGGAGAGCCATGATTTCCCTGAAAGAGGAGGAATATGTTTCACGTTTGCATCCTTCTTCAGGGAGATGTGATCTATTTGCAGTGGAATGGCTCAGATTAGGCTTTGGTATTAGGGTTTTCTTCCTTTCATGCTTCCTTTGCCCTGACCTTGGACAGACAGTGAAAGGAAGATGGAAGAGCCACCCTGTGTCTCTTCGCCTCTCACTTCGTGGCAGCATTTTGTCTTTTCTCTCTGCCCTTCACCCTTCACCTTCCATCATGTTTAAAGCACCAGTGTAACTATTTTTCAGCTGAGTTGTATTGATGAACTTCAGACCATTGTAAATACACCTGGGGGATGGGGATCGCACCCTGCAAGGGAAGCCAGACTTGCTTTGTGAAATGAATGTATTTTTATGCAATTTTGAGTGGCCTTTCAACCCTAAGATGGATGGTTCTTTTTGTTTTACTGGTTGTTATTATGTAGTATTAAGTATTCTGTGTTTGGAAGTTTGGAAATAGTATTCACATCTATTTGATGCCCGTAAACACAACCGTATTTATAAATGAGTAAATAAACCGTGTTTTAACTTTGTGCAATTGGATTGATAATTTCACATCTGTCAAGGCTCCATGGGCCTTTCCCCATCAGCCTCCTGCAACTCAGACAAGGCTCTGAGAGCACTGAGGAGTTCCTAAGTAGACAGGATGGTAAGAATTGAGGGTTCTCAGTGGCTGAGAATATGGCCGTTTCTACAAAGGCTGGGTAACAAGCCCATCTCTGAACACCCTCGGTAGGTAAGGTGAATCGGGGTCCGGAGGTGAACACAGCCCTCCTTCCTCTGCAGAATGCAGAGCGGTAACTGGGTCATTATTTGACTCAGGATATCCAAAAGCACATCCTAGTTCCAAACTACAACTGCAGCCAACTTGGTGATAAGGGGTTAACGCCACATTCCACGGAAGGAGCCAGCCCAAGGAGGTGCCACGCGGGCACTTGGCAGGTCCTGCAGGTGAGCGGCCAGGGCTCAACTCAGGCAGCCCGGGTTCAGGTCTGGATTCTCCACACAGCAAGTCCTGTCCTGGCACTGCCCGGCGGAAATCCCTGGTCACTGACGGGGAGGGAGGTCAGGGAGGGAAGATTCTTTTCCCCTGCTGTCACCCAGCTGCTCAGAGCCCAAGCAGCAGCAGAACAAACACATGATGTCATGGTTGAAGAGTTCAGACCTGTTTCCAGGCCCCAGAGCTAAGGCAGAGATGCAGGTCTGATGCAGGGCCCCTCGGAAACATGTCACCTCCATCCCCCACTGGATGGGGTGAGGTCTACAGATGGTCACCTAGCAGGCATGTGGGCCAGCCCCCCAGGAAGGGCAGAGCCCCTACTACAGAATGAGCCCACAGCCTCAGCCTGTGCACCCAGGCCACCCCCTGCTCATCTCCAGGACTGGAGTAGCAAGCGAGGACAGTTGTCCACTCGTGCACACAGCCCTGCCTGCCTCATCCACGCTGCCCCTTGAGCACCGGGGCTGACAGGGAGCACAGCTCTCACTGGTGATGCTCTTAGACAAGTGTCATGTGGTGACAGTCTGACAAAATGCCAGGCCTGTGTGCTGTCTCACCGTGAGAAGGCGGTGGCGGTGGAGACTGGAAGGGACTTTAACCCCTTGGTCAAGGGAACTCTGTCCCTCTCTTTAAACTTTTCTAAGCTGTCTTTGATCCCTAAGATCTTGCTTCCTAAGACAGTGACCTTTGGGATATCTGAAATGGGATGATTCCAGCTTACCCTAGGGCCAGCCTCCCCTTTCGGGCTGACTG